TACTTAGCAAACATCAACACCTGCTAAAGGGTTTCATTTTGCAGAGAGAACAAAAGCTGCAAATTGGCTTGTGGCAAGTGCTACAAACCAGGCAACCAGCTAACCAGCAAACCAGTAACAACATCTAATCAATATCCCACAATTGGTTTGTAGCAAACGGAGCACAAGCTGACCGCTAGACACTATCCCCCCTTCGATCTTTAGCTAGTCCGGTCCTTATACCATTATGAGATTTGTGTAATTGGTAACCAATTTACCAATACATATTTAACATGCCACTGCAAACAACAAGATGCTCTCGGCATTCTATCATACATACACCGAAATAGCATCGTATATATTGCCGGATATGTTATTAATTCAAAATGCAGCTCAATTTGTGCGTTTATTGTTGCTGTTGCTGTTTCTGTTTATTTGCCTGTCTTTCCGCCTGCCTGCAGTTGCAACATTTTCTGCTCTGTTTTGTAAATTGACATTTCCATCTGCATGTTGTTTTCATTAACCTGAAATGTGCTCCAATCTGCACTGAAAAGTATGCAACACCAAATCTATTGACTGAAATATGTAGACAACAACTCAACAATACTCTGCCACGTACACAAAATATAAATAAGAGTTTTTGAAAAGATAAATTTTAGTAAAATAAAATGAATACAAAATAAGCTGCTTACAAGAAGAAAAAGGAGAAAAGTTCGTTTAGTGATCCAAAATTAAATGAATACAAAATAAGCTGTTTATTTCTAATAAATGAAAAGCCATCATTGTCCTCAAGCCAGTTAATCGGCATTAAAACAAAGTTGAACACTAGAAAATAGATTAATAATATCATTATTAAGATTTTGCAAATTTTGAACTTCAAAATGTTAAGTGTGCTATGAAAAATACAAATAGAGATAAAAATAAGCAATTTACCAAAAGCAAATACAAAGTGTTTCTTAGTGATTATCTCAAATACTTCAATTATAACTATTTATATCGACACTTAACGACCATAGTGACCCATGTATCAAACAAAAGAGCTCCACATATGCATACAAATTACCAATATTATAGTGTATTCATAAATTTAAAAATTTCACTTTCGTAGGCACAATCAGCATTTGGGGCAGCAATGTGGCAAGTGCAACAGCGTTTAGCCTAATTAAAATTCTGATATGTATCTGCGAAAAGCAGCAGCTCATATCTGCCACGTGTTTGTATTGTTTTATGGCAGGCCATTAAATACAGCTAATGCATAACGGAAATTCATTGTGATGAGCCCCATTCAGATATATGCATAATATTTGTGGCAGAAATTTCAACAGGTTTATTGTTTGTTTAGGTTGGACAGTAAAGCCTTTTGGTTGGCCAGTTGTTTGAATGGTTGACCTTTAATTATTTGATGGCATCGGCGGTCACACACAGACACACACGAACTTCTCGCAACCGATGCTGAACTTGCAACGGGGCAAGTTTGGAGCAAGGCACTTTCGCTTATTGAAAACATTGAAAACTGCAAGTCGAGACGGGCAAACATGAATGTTTATTGAGCGACCAAGACGATGCTTTTAAGGCCATCATAAAAATAATAATGATGCCAAGGCATGACGATGGTGGTGCCACTGGTGGTGGTGATGGTGGTGGTGGTGATGCTGCTGCTGGTAGCTATATGTTGCCGATGCCGCCAAATATAGGCAGCTGCACATGGAAATAAATATTTATATGCGCGCCATCTATAAATTGAAAGGCCAGGCAAAAAAAAAGGGTTGCGCGCTAATGCCAATTCCAAGCGACAGGTGAAACGACAAGGAAACAAGAAGAAACAAGAGCAGGAGAAAGGAGCAGCAGGAGCAGCAGGAGTGCCAGGAACAAGCAGCGGAAGCAGCAGGACTTATGAGCTTTGGCGCGCAGCCTTTGGACTTGGACATTTTTACGATGTGATTTCACATAACCACAGCAGACGTGCAGACAACAACAAGATAGAGTTACAAAGAAAGATAGAGAGAGAGAGAGAGAGGTGGAGTTATAGAGAGAGAAAGAAACTCTCAGAGACAGAGAGAAAGCGAGAGCGAGATAAGTTGCAGACGCTTTGGTGATAAACTTTGAAATTGCTGGTGGAGCGTTGTATGTGTGGCACGTGTGATTGTGTGTGTGAGTGTGGGTATTTGTTGCAACAGCTCGAAAATTTATTACACTCCAGCGGCACAAGCGAATTCTAATAAGCGAAATGCGACGTTGAGCCTCGCTAATGTCCTGCAGTGAAATCAAACGGAATTACAGGGCGCATTACGCATACGATACGCCCATATGACCCCGTCCCCGACTCCAACAACCACAAAAAACCACACACACATAGCACAGCACAGCACATAGCACAAAAGGGTTGACTATCATTTGTAGGATATGATTTGATGCTGGCACTCCATTTGCTTATTTTAGTTTGATTTCAATGTCTGCGCATGCATGACACAAACCATTCATTTGACACCAAACAAGAGCAGAATCCGAATTTAAATAGCACTTCGGATACGAACTTGCAATGCCCTTACAGAAAAATACAATATATTAGTTACAGCTATTTAATATTAAGCAACATTTTTTCTTTCTTAGGTTGCTAAATAAAATTGCAATACGATAAGCAAAATAACATTTGCTCAGAAAATATTTGAGTTCTCTCCAAAAATAATAAACATATTTAAGCTCAAACTCCAGCTGGGACATAGGGACGTGCATACACTCTAACAAATAAGCAATATAAATAAAATATCATAGATATTGAATAAATTAAAATACCTTTTACAAGTGTATATAAAAAAATTGGGCATAGTTGAAACGTTATCCATATGCTTGTAATGCTGTTGTGATGATGTCGGAGTGGGTGTGAGGCAGAGGATGGATTGTCGCACTTGAGTTGATTTAATTCAATTCATGGACAGACAATGATTGCGTCAATTGCCGCATGTTTATCATTGTGACAGTTTTTTTGAACGCCAGGGCAAAAAAAAAAATTGGCTGGCAATGCTGGCCAAATCTTTGGCACGAATCTGGGCCACAGCCAAGAATCATCTCTCTTTCTCTCTATCTCTCTCTCTCTCTTTCTGTCTCTCTATGTGGCTGCTGTTGTCTGCAGTAATGAGGGGGCGGTTAGCGGAAATTGTATGTAAGCATTTTAGTTTGGCAATTGTGTGCGAGTCGCTCTTCAAAGTGTCTACAAATTGAGCGCATTATTTGCAGCGCGACAGCTCTTTTTCTACTTTTTTGCGTCATTTTTTGTTGGCAAGGGTTGCCTCATTCGGTTTGGCTCTTGGCCTTGTTTACATAATGGCCAGCGGTGTCAGTGTCACACAGAGTGTGGCAAAAAGAAAAAACCTTTTCTTTTTGGTTTTTTGTTTTTTTTGGCTGGCCAGCACAACTGTGCCAATTAGTTTAAGGGGGCCAGGCAGACACATCGAATGTGGACCCAGGGGTGCAATACTATATTGCGCAGGGTTTTCAATTACACATTATGGTCGTGGCAGCAGTAAAAGACTTGGCCCAAACCACAAACAGAAATTGGATTTGTGACTTTTTTTTTTACTTTCGTTTTATGTGCAGCGAAACATCCCAGCTCCAAACCGCCTGACTCGTTCAGTTTTATGAACTTATAAACAAGAGAAAGGCTAAGCAGATGGGTGGTCGTAAGGTAAGGGAAGGTGTGGTGTGGTGGGGTGTGGTGTGGTGTGTGCAGTGGTAGCCACTGCAACCCTTTAGTCAGCTGTTGCTGTTGCTGTTACTGTTGCTGTTGCTCCGACTCTCTAGCTGCTTATTATGTGGATTATTAGAGGGATTTACTTGGCTGGAGTTTTCATGTGCTACCAAAATCACATGCGCTGTGTATGTGTATTTCATGTGCTTGGCATCAATGACATAAATAAAAAGATTTACCAAGGATTTGCCACTGGGTAACCGCACCAAAAATAAAAAAATACCAAGCAGAAAACAAAACCAACAACAGCTTCCGGCGCTGCAAAAAGGTGCCGTCAAAATGTGGCAATGCCGCAAATATACAACCGCACCGCCCGACCACCCTCTTGCCAACAATTTGCCTCTTGCCTTTCTTGGCTTGTTGCTGGTTGGTCTCTTTAAAGGGTTTCGCTGTCTGTGGCGCCCACACATTTGTGTGATTTACGCTGACACTAAAAGCTCAGTCAGGTCAATGTTTGTTTCTTGATAACCACCTAATCGCAAATGCCACTACAAGTATTAAAACGGCAACCAAATGTAGTAATAGAAAAGCAAAAAGATTGCTCATTCATTGCTCACTGATAACAAACAATTCATATTCAATTTACATATCAGTTTTAGTTTCGAAACTGCGAGTAAACAATGACGTGTTTCGGACTTTCACTTAATGTCATCCGATCGCTCTTAATATGTATGTATGTGAGCTATTAAGAACCAGCCCAGATGGACAGACAAACAGATGCCCTGCAATTAAATGAATCGCTCGAGAGTAAACAACACATTAATTAAGATGAGTCGGTTGAGAAGATAATAATATATTGTAGCCAATATATAATTAATGTTTTTCATTTTACATTTATATATAAATATTGATAAACTGCTTAGTGAACCTTTTCATACTTTACTAACTTTGGTTATAAGCTTTTAATTGCTAATTGCTAATTGACATTAAATTTATTTATTTTAACCCTAAGTCAGCTCGGTTGATTGAAATATTGTTTTGAATCAACCGAGCTGACTTTCTTACCCCTTTTAACACCCATTGCTGTTTTAAATTTCTCAACTAATTGACATCAAATCTATCAAACTACACCACGAAATTACTACACACAATTCTTTCTTTAAATGACTTAAACTAATTTGCCCTTTTCCTCCCGTCAATTAATTATTATTCGCCATAAACATGAAAGCAAAACATATTTTGAAATAAACTTATTTAACATTCATTTAGTTTTTTACTAAGTAAAATATATTTATTTATATTTCTGTATATTTTAAAAGTCAGGTCGACTAATAGTTCTGTTTAAGCTATACTACACACTTTCACTGAAGGCAGCTTTGTTTAATTAGAACAGAAGAATTTGTTGTGCCACTGTTGTTAACTATTAGTGTGTTATTTGAGAAGATACTATAGATAATTGAGCTAGCAGCAAAGTTGCTAGCCAACTATTTGTAATGACCAAGGGCATTCTTCAGGACACGCCAGCGCGAGTAGGCAATGTCCCAGTCGACGAAGGCGCCCAGAATGTGCCGGACATTATGATCCGTGTCATCGTACCCAGTGCGTCCATGCACCATTCTCAAATTGTCGAAGGTGAGTACATCCCCCGGTGCGGTTTTAAAAGTGCATGCCTGCTCGTTGGCCAGCCGTATAAACACAGCCATCGCTTCGTACCATGGACGCACCTGGTCCGCGGGCACACTGAAGTGGCTGTCGCGTTGCGGAATGCTGTGGTTAATCCTCACGTAACGACCATTGGCATCCAGGCTGTGTAGAGAAAAGAAGAATTAAAAGGTGGCACACTAAGAAAATTAAAATCTTCTCTCTTTTACTTGCAAGATGTTCCGAGCTAATATATATTTATTTATATATATATTTACTAAATAAAAATATATTTTGGCCCAAATTATAGCCATTATTTGGTAGACGGACACTCAAATTGACTTATTTCTGTGCTTACCCCTACTCAACTTAACTTGTTTTGTGATCTTGGAGTGAAGTCCTAACATGTTTATATTGAAAAATATTTCGTGATACTTTTCAGACTGAAAATCTGTGAACCACTGAAATTGTCTGGTAAGTTTTATGATTACATTCAAAAAAGAAATATTCTAATCATGGCATAAAAATGTTTGTGAATTTCAAATCAAGTCTTTTTCGGGTTCTCTCAGTGTACACTTACTTGATGACTGGCGCACGCCAGATGTTGTGAAAAGAGAGCTCCTTGTCGCTACCAATGTCCGCCCAGTCAACTGGCGTTTGGCTGAGCACGTGAAATGAGCTGGGATATCGCTGACGCAGCAAATCCGCCACATGGAACGCATCGGTAAGCAGATTCCAGCCACCCGGTGAATCCGATTGCTGCAGCGTATGGAGCAGTGTTACGCCCGGCTTGTACTCAAAATATGGCATATCCGTGTGCAGGGGCAGTGGTGCAGCCAAGTAGGCATAATTGCTGGCGCCGGGCTGTGCCCGCACACTCCACTCATCGCCGTAGGTTGTGCGTCGCATGAATCCGACGCGGTTGCACAGCTTTCGCAGCACATCCTCCTCGAGTGGAGCTTGCTTGACCAGCGCCAGGCCATAGACAGCGAGGTGATGCAGCCACTGCAGCAGTGCTTCATCGCTCTCAAGCAGTTCCTGGTATTGGAATTCACGTCGGATTAATTCATACTGCTGGCCGGACCAGTGTCGCTGCTCGGGGCGATAATAGGCGCGCAGATAACGGGCTCGATTCGCTTGCGAGAAATCGCGCTCCTGGAGCCAACTAATCGGATAGCTTGACTGATGATCATCGGACCACTCAATCTGTAGCGTTTGCTGCTCCGCACACCAGCTAATCTCCTGCAAGCGTACAGTGGGATCCAAGTAGTTCCAGCCGTGGGGCAGGCGACTTCTTGTCTGTTTCATATAGCATTTGGGGCACCGGCAATTGTCGCGCAACCAAATCTCTGGAAATTGCATGGCCGGCTGCTCCGCAGATACGTGCAGGAGCACCAGCTGTTGCTGCAGATCCCGACTCACTTGAACCAACATTTGCGCGATCTTCAACACAACCGGCGGCAATGCTCAACGCTTGACGAATGAGTCGAGTAGAGACAACTGCAACAGCAACAGCCCATGGTTGTCGACAATAGACACGTGGCCTTAACAGTATCATTGCTAAATAGATTATTAATGAGGCTCGGCTGGTGCTCGCCTGATGCCAGCTCTTATCAATCCCTTGTGATAGGTTGACGACGTCTCTCAACTTCTTGCTACCTCAGCCTTTTTTTCTATTTTCATATTTAAAGACTTGTCTTTAAACTGCCACACACACACACACACACACATATACAAACACCCGCTCGTTGGCTCGCGAGTAGATTCAGCCATCCAGCATGCAAAATTAAAAATGCAAAATTAATTTTGCACAAAATTGCAAACGCTTGCAAATTCTGCATAATTGTTTGTCATCAACATGGCCCAACCCCTGGAGCACCCGTCAACTCCCACAGCGACTGGCACCCTTTCTTTGGCACTCAGTTGAGCCTTTCCATGCTGTCTCGCATTGCTCGCTCTGCATTGAAATGCCGTCAATCATTGTTAGGCGGCATTGATCACTTCATTCGCAATGATGCACATTCCACATATCCACATTGCCACATCTACCTTCCCCCATGTTGCCATGATTGCAATATCCCACTTCTGACAACACAATAACCATTCAGCATATAGCCAAAAGCAACAACAACAACAACAACATCTGCATGACTATAGCGCTATTTTTAATTATCACTTTCACAGACATACATATATATATGTATATAAATATGTATGGCCATTCGTATCTACCATCTATCGCTTGGGTATCACTGCATTTCCATTTTCATTCAGCTTGCTTTCACGCCTCAAACAAAGAAACACAAACCGTGAATGCTCAGCTTTTAGCATTTTGCCAAGAGTTTCTACACTCACACACAATTTAATGCGGGTATGCTAAAAATGTGTACAAGTTTGACGATGGCGCAGATTTAATGAAATTGTACTTTATTTTATTATAACAATTAGTAGTATCTCAATTTCAATTATGTTTAATAGCTGTAAATATATCTAATAGCATACTTTTTGGAGCTTGCTTTATTTATGAAGGGAAAGTATTTTCATACGAAGTGATTTTATATTTGGAAATAAAGCAGAGATAAATTATTAAATTATTATTTGGTCTGCTTGTGTTTTTTCTGGGTTTTCCCCAATTCATGCAAGAAATGTTGGAACATTTTGCATTTAAATACCCCCAGAAATATTATAAATTATTCTTATTTTTGAATAGATATATATAATTTCAAATTTTACCATACATTTAATTTAAATTTGTCGAACTTTTTGGATTTTTTTAATAAATAAATAAATAAATATTTAGTTAAAATAACAATTTATATTTAATTGGAATTATATTATTTTTTCATCGTATACTTGAAGATAATAATAAGTTGAGAATTAGCTATGAGTATTTGCTGAATATATGTAGATTAGAAGACCTGAATTCGAACTTCATTAATGAGAGTGCAGTTCAATAATATGTAAGTTGGACTGTATTTATTTTGTAAGTGTATTTGAAAATCGTTGACTTTACAGCTAGACCCACATGCGCCGCTCATTTGTTGGGCATTTCACATTTCTATGGATTATTTTATGCATTGTATCTGAATGAGTGAAGGCAACGGGATTGATGCCGCTGTTGGTACTGCCTGCTACCGGTAGCTTGCAACACCCAAAGCCAGAAACTTTATTGTTTTCAATTAAAAACATTTTACATGCAAAACATTCGCATCTATGTAAACGAGTGACTCGATCCATTCACTCAGGCGTCAATTTATGTATTCATGTGCTTAACGAAAAACAAAAAGGAAAATCGACACCGACAACAACGAAAAATCATCAGCGACGCACAATTGCAATGAAGTGAAATGTAATGAGGTGTAATGAAAATGCATTCAAGTGTTGCGCCTCTCAGTTTTCCACCTGCACTTAACAATAATCATAATCAACTGAAACAACAACAACAGCAACAACAATTGTCAGCTGCAGTTTTATAACGTTTTAACAGATGTTTCTTGAAATACGGATTACAACTTAGAGCTTCACTCTTTGCTTATGAAACAACTGCCCCAGAAATCATCTTGTTGGCACTAAATCATTTACTCAATTAAGACTAATTATCATATTTTGAAATCTTACTCAAATTTCACTAAACATCAAAATTGCATTCTATAGAAAAAGTTGTAATATTCATTGATAACCTACCTTAAAAATTTAATAAGCTCAAATACAGTTGGAGGCAGAGATTTTCAGGAAGGGGCTGTAGGACTTATTAATTGAGTTTATCTCTAATAATAATAACTTGTGATAATAACTTGATCTATTAAATAATACTGCAAGCTGCATTGACAAATGGGCGTATAACAATAAATTATTTTTCCTATGAAGTTACAGTTGAAAGGTGTAGTTATTTTAGCTATATGGACAAGAAAAAAATACTCTTATCTGCATTATGGTAAAAATTATTGCTTAAATTATGCATAGAAAATAATACATTTCACAAACTATTATGCCAGTTTATTACAAATCAAATCAAATGATTTGGGCCACTCAACTGTGAACATTTTGTGAGCGTGAATATTTTCTTTTATCGTCGATTCGTTGGATGCTTAAATTATTAATGAACTCCAAAGCGCAACTAAGCGGAAATGCGGTCTCTCAGAGGGAGAGAGAGAGAGTGAGAGATTGGAGGGAGGGGTGTGAGTGATGTTGTTAGGCATAACAATGTTGGCTAACAGGCGACATTGCAACGGTGTGCACAATGGGCGCGCTTTAGGCCTAATTAGCCTCGTGGGCAGCATCAAAAGAGCCAAGCCAAACAGGCAGCAAGCCGCAGTGCCACAGAGAAGGGTGGCCGAATCGGCCTCTACAAATAACAAAGGCACAACGCATAATTAGGCAACCATGTTGTCGTTGTTGTCCTCGTTGTTGTTGTTGCTGTTGTTGTTGTCGTTGGCACACTTCAAATGGCGCAAATTGGCGCATTTTGTGGCTTGAGGCCTGGCACGCCCACCCTTGTTGGCCCCCATTCGCTGCGACTGCACTTCCGCCGGAACAGCGGCCAAAAGAAACCGAAATCCTTGAGTGGGCCCTGGCTCAAGATCTGTGCAGCCGGCTGCCACAGTGGGACACATAAATAAATGCGCGACAAATCCGTAAATATGATTAAGTGCCAAATTTATTTACAGCTCCCCGGTTGCCTTAAAAATAAAAAAAGGAAATAATAATAATAAGAAAAGTGAAGAAAAAAACGCGTGCCTCTTTTTTTTTTTTTTGATAAAAAGGCCAACGGGCGTGGCATAAGCCGCGACCACCTGCCGGAAGCCGCGTGGCAGCATCTGCTCCGCCTTGGGCTTAATATATGTATGTATGCGTGTGGAGCTGTTGTTGTTGTTGTTGTTGTTGCTGGCTGCCAACTCGATTACAATTACGTGCGCTAATTGCACTTTAAACGCGTCCGAGCTTGTCAACTGCAACGCTTCACATCCGCCAGCGACCGCCTCTCGACGCCCGCCGCCTGCAACTTTCTGCCCTTTCTGCTACACATTTTTGCTGCCACTTATACTACATATATATATATATTTTTTTTTTGCACACTATTTTTTATGGCCTTCGCTGCTGGCAGGAACTTACGGCTACATAAATTTGCAAACATGATGTCCCATATACGTACATAGAAAAATTGTTGGCTTGCTGGCTGCCAGGTTGGCAGCACTACTTGTATTATAATAGTCTGCCTGCCACAGCCTTCTACTCCACGTCGTCGTCGGCGTTGCTCGCCTCACAGCTGCCGTAATTCAAAGTGACGCTAAATTTAGTTTAATACACATGGAAAACCACCGTGGAAAACAAATGTGCAGATTTGTTAAACCGAATAAAAAAAGCATTGTAATGCTAATATAAAATCCTAGCATATTTATACGGATTACATTTGGCTCGGCAATGCCAACCAGAAGCACAAATCATTCTTAGTATACCAGTTAAATTGAAGTTTGTATTTGGTTAGCTCTTTTTTAAATAAATTTCAGTTAATTGATCACTTATTTCTGAACCAATTTGGTTGCATAACTAAAAAACTATATTTTTCATAGTATTCAATTCGTGTTCAATTGAAATCTGTTTTGACTGAAAGATCAAATTGTTTAGAAATATGTGTACATCTTTCTTAACCTTTATAATTTTTACATATCTAAGGCATGTATATTCTTATAACTATTCACATAACTTTTGTTTGTTAAGAACTTGAGCAATATTGTAGATCAGTTTACAAGTTACATTCCCAACTCAATCGGCAACATCGGCGCTAACTTTTACAAATTTCCACTGTAGGCCACATAAATAACGTTGAGAAGCTACTCACAAGAAAAGTTTGCACAACGAGGCACATTTCACAATTGCTTTCATACATTGCGCATTCATCCACTGTGCCACGAATATAAATAGCCCACCTGGCTGCTTCTGCTGTGGGTTGTATGCAATTGTAACGCCAGCAAGTGGCCCCTATAATGGTCCAAGGCGTAAGACCATATCCGTCCGTCTGACCGTCCGACCGTCCATCCGTCCGTCGGTCCGTCCATCTGTGTGCCTATGCGCCTGACTGGCTACCCACCCGACGGCTTGCTGGCTCTTTTGCTCATTTACACCTTTTATTACGTATGCGTGCGTCGTTGGCAGCTGCAAAGTTTTCAGTTTAGTTTGCCATTAACGTGGCCATAAGCGTTTGGCCACACGACTCCGAGTCGTGTCCTGTTCTTTCGAGAACTGCCTTGCTTGCTATTCATATGCAAAACAGCCACACCGAGGTCTGCCCAAAAAGTTATTTCCCCCATACAAAATTTGGCTGGTAATATTTATGGCAACCCGCGCTCCAATCAAAGTCATATATTAATGGCTCAATGCACTATAGGGCAAGTAATAAGTTTTTCCTTTGGAAAAATTTGGTAACGATAAAGCAC